ATCTTGGAAAAAATCAGAGTCATTATAAACTCTTTTAGGTAATTTCCAGCTTCTGAGAACATAAGGATTCCCAAAGATCATACAGAGGAGACATCACATATGATGATTGAGTAATATAGGTATGGACTAAATGGAAAAATTTGTTTTCTTTTTATTTAATATTATTTTATACATCTGACAATCTTATGGGTGGACTATTTTTATTGTGGGCTCTTTTCCTGGCTTATGCTGCTACATAAGGAAATAAAGAGCCTACTGACTCGAGTGCAATGCACTCACAAAGATCCTGCCTGCTGCACTTAAATTGTATTTGACAGTTAGGAACATTGTTAGTCACTTTGAGAAGAAGGTTTGCATAATTCTGCCATTTGGCTAATGTTTGAAAGCATCTATCTTGGTGCTAAAATAATTTTGGAGCATATAGGGGAAGCATTCTAGACGGAACTTAATGGACATTCATTGCTAATATTTTTGTTTGCTTGCTTTTTTTTTTTTTAGCAAGCATATTCTTTTGGATAATTTTAGATATACAGAACAGTTCCAGCTATTGACATTATTCTAAACCAGAAAATAAATTAGTAAGATAATATTGTTACTGTTATTATCATCATGCTTTATATTTTCAGGAATATGTCTTAGGACGTGAGGCATAGCCAACTAAGTATCCCATTTGGATGAAAGTAGTCATACCTCGTTCCAGAGTCATACCTCGTTCTTGACATTCCATTGAAAAAAAAAATACACACAGTGGCCAGTTATCTTAAGACAACTTTTAAATGTAATTCCACCCTTCTAGTTCATTCATAAATTATGGTTTTCCATTTCCATTTTATTGTATTTAATGTATTGATTACAGTCTCTGAGAGTCAAATGTTCATAGGCTCCATTAGAGATAATGAAGAGAACAGTTAAATTTAAAACTTAAAAACTACTATAACATTGGTGGTTGATGGGGCCATAAAGTAGACCATGCAAGAAGGATTTGAAAACAGATGGCTTATGTTGGAGGTTCTTTAGAAAGCAGAGGGCAAGCAGTCAGATAAAAGAGAAAGGAAGGTGTCTGGGGGTTGTTTTCCATATGGACAGTGGAAGCTTAGCCATGCAGAGCCACTTCAGAAGTATCCCACCAGAAGATGAGGAAATTTCCCACTGGGTTTCATCTTTCTCTATGTGATTGCTTTGCCCAGGTGTCTTAACTCCCTTGAAATTCTGGGCTGTGTTCATACCGAAGGCTTTCCATAGCTTTGAACCATGTGCTGGCCAGTTAGGCTCTCACCTCACTTTTCTCAACAGGAAAGAACTGCAGGGTGTGTGAACCTGTCTACCACAGCTGTGACTAAATCACAAAATCACAATGCCCTCAGGGCACAAGGCACCACCAGATGCTGCCACTACCAGCAAGTACTTATTCAAAATGATGTGATAAATGTCCTCTTTTACAACGGATATGTCAGCAGAAAGGACATTGTGAGACAGGAATGGGGAAGGCAAATGACTTTCATCAGAGGACATACAATTAAATTGTGAAACTGCAGTTATTTTAAAGTTACGGCAGTGACTGGATGTTGTTTGAATCTGAGGAGTTTTAAGACTTCTTGGTGTCTGTGGGGGGATCTGCACTGTAGCTAGGATGTGTCATATGTCATGCTTCATCTTCACTGCAGTCTCTTCTTTTATAACATGTCCATTCTCACCCACTAGCAAAAGATTCTTGAAGGGCTGGTCCACTGTGTCCCGGGTACTGAGAAAATTACTGCCCTTGGCTGACCTTGGTGAGCAAGTTGTGCTTTCATTAGTTTTTATTGCCATTTTCAGAAGCCCTAGAAGAGGGGGATACATATCTTGGTGAAATCTCATGAAGCTAATTATCTTAGATAGTTGAAAACTCAAAATATTTAAGATGTATCACTGTATAAGAAAGTATCATTGAATGGTGAATAGTATTAGTGATTCATAATCTTGAAGCAACTAAATGAATCTTCTCTTGCCCTCTGAAAATTACACGGCTTCAAGTACACACACACACACACACACTTACTCATAATTAAACCTCTGTGTACAGTTGTGAAAGAACTGGGTCATCCAGACAATGTTGAGATTTCCTTGAGCATGATTTACCTCTTGTATACCAAAGCACATTTTATCTGTTTGCTGGTGGTGTGTTCTAGGTGTTGGCTAAACCTGTTTCTCCAGTTGCAGCACTGTCTGAGATTATCCGGAACTGAATGAAAACCAGAGTAATCTGCTTTACATACAAATATTTGAGTATACTTTGCTATTGGTGAAAAGGCGACAATAAGAAATATTTGAAGCACCTACTCCAAACAGGTTCCCAAATTTCAACTATTTGTTAATAGCTGTAATTTTCTCCTCATCTAATATTAACATTACATGAACTCATTAATGTCAGTGTGATCATGGATAGCATGAGTTAGTCATTGTTGAATCAATACACATTAAATTTCTTACTAAAATTGAAAAGTATGTACTAATGCATTTACATACAATTATCTGGAAAAAATCGGTGGCACATGCCAGATAACAGTGTATCAATATGAAATGTTTGGGGCAAATGTTCTAGAGTCAAGCTATATCCAAAAAGGATGATTTCAATGAAAAGAGACCAAAGGACATGGATCTTTCAGTTTGATGCTTTATTGCTCAGCAAACACATGCAGAAACAGTTTCCCACAGTAGAGAGGACACAAACTACAGAACATTCTCAAAGAAGAATCTGTGCCCACATGGACACATTGGTTAACCTCCAAGCAATGAGATGAATTGGCACACAGCTCTCTACAACCAAATTCTTCCGAGGTACATTGTAAGAAAGCAAAGCATCCAGCTACACAATGTAAGCAACATGCAAATCAGCAGGTCGAGGACTATAAAACTATGCACTGCTTCTCCGTTTCACAATTCATATGGATGCTTAGGACCACAAAGGGCCTTGGAGCTAGCATAGATCTCTCTATATAGCATAACTGGATAACTTCATGGCTGTTAGGGACCTCTGAATCATATATACATAAATAAATATTTCTCCATGGATGATGACAATGTGTATAGAAAATATATGCACATATACAATATAGTTTTTACTTGGAAAATTGTGTCTTTAAGAATACTTTCAGAATTGTAACACAGAGAAGACAAATAGTATACTATATTTTCTGTAGATAGCAAATGAAATTCACAAGGTTTTGAAAATACACAATAGCTTATTTATATACACATCTACCTATGGTGTCTGGGTGACTATTTCCTCATCGAATATAAACATCAGGAAGTCCTTTATTTTTTTCTTTCCTTTCTGCTAGTGGCTTACCTTAACTAATTTCTGATGATCATACCACACTGGAAACAGCCTTAATAACCAGAGCTGATTCTTTTTAACCTGCACTTATTCATTTTCTTTCTCTTGTATGGATTGTCTTTTCTTGACTATCTAAACCAAGTCTATTTTTAAAAGAAATCCAATCTTCTTTATAAAATCCTTCACACTACTTTAGGACTCGCTGATAGTCTATTCTCCTAGAGGAATTCTAATGTTTGCAGTATGAAGTCATATAGCTTGTCTTTCTATTATGTACTCTGCATGTTTTATTCATTTTATTCACATTTTAGTGATAATCTGTTATCACTCTCTGAGCAAACAGGCAATCTAGTAATCTTGATCATTACTAAATTAGGCGACAGATGTGAGGATGCTATTGAAGTTTACACTCAAGGTTGCACTCATGGCGTATATACAAGGTCACACTTATGGTTTATACACAAGGTCACACTCATGGTGTATACACAAGGTCACACTCATGGTGTATACACAAGGTCGTGTTCATGTTATATACACAAGGTTGTGCTCATGGTGTATATAAAAGGTCACACTCATGGTGTATACACAAGGTTGCACTCATGGTACATACACAAGGTCACGCTCATGGCGTATACACAAGGTCGTGTTCATGATATATACACAAGGTTGCGCTCATGGTGTATACACAAGGTCGTGTTCATGGTGTATACACAAGGTTGTGTTCATGGTGTATACACAAAGTCATGCTCATGGTGTATACACTAGGTCATGCTCATGGGGTATACACAAGGTCACACTCATGGTGTATACACAAGGCTGCGCTCATGTTGTATACACAAGGGGTGGTTGTCATCATCACCTGGCACAATTATAGTACATTTTAATGAGCCAAGAGAATGAATGGTTTAAGACAATAAAAACAATCAATAAAGAAGTTACATAATGGTAAAGATAAATCTACAGGAAAATCAGGCAGCATAAAGATTTTAGGTTATATTTTCTTTTTTTTTTTGAGGGGGGGTGGTTTCAAAACAAAGATTCTCTGTAGCCTTTTGGAGCCTGTCCTGGACTCACTCTATAGATCAGGCTGGCCTCAAACTCTGCCTGTCTCTGCCTCTCAAGTGCTGGGGTTAAAGGAGTGTTCCACCACAGCCCCTATAGGTTATATTTTTTGGTTGGAGATTCACTGATTTACTTATTCAATCATTCAGCAGAAAGTCAATGTCAAAGTCATGGTCTGACTTTAATTTGTGGGCTGTGAAGATGAAATGAATTTGTCCTAATGACATTTTCTTTTTATTTGTTTATTCAGAGTTATTCAATATTCAAGATTTTTGAAGGGTGTATGTGGAGGCTCAGAACAAAGTGACTTTCAGGCTGAGCTCAGAGTCCTCAGTAAGTGATAATTTCTTGAGACAGAGATAGACAAAGCACATATTAAGATAAACTCTCCAGTAATTTTTATGTATATCAAAACAGGAGTGGCTTGTACTCATAGGGATTAAATATTTGATTTCTTATTGTGCCATCCTGTACCCTGTCAGTATCATGATGCCCTTACTGACTTCTGGATGAAGGCCTTTGGTCAGTTGGAACAAACTTATTCTGAGTCGTACTGTACTTGTTTCTTTTCTGGAAAGATTCCACCTTTATTAATACTGGTCCAAGATGTTGGTGAGGAAGTTCATATTTCCTCCTGTTTGGCAGTCAAAGAATATGCACATGAATGGGATCCATTTTTCTGTAAAGAAAGAAAGAAAGAGTCACTTAAATGCTTGCGGGAATGCTAACACTACTGGTTAACACTACTGGTTACCAGCCTCTTAGTATAACTTTCAATACCCATTATTTCATTTCCTGCTGAAATAACATTTCCATTATTTCAGCTGAGAGTCTACGGTATGGGCTCTATCAATACTTGAAGCCATCATTATGTGACTATGTAGTTTGTCACTAAATTCTTTTCTTGTCTTGCTACATCCAGATTTGATAGTTTTGGACAATGTACTAACTTAGTATTGTATGTCCCAGCCTTTTCCAGTGTTTCTAGACAGAATTCTTAAAATACGAAAAAATCATATTCTATTTGGTTGTCATATAGGTGCTTTGTATAAAAGAAGGCAGATTACGTCTCGTTTGGTCTGATAATATTGAATACAAACATCCATGATCACTCTTGTCAAAAGGATATTATTTGGGTATTGAATTAAGAATGATACGGATTAAACTTGCCAGTCAACGCAGTCCATTTGCTGTTGAAAAATCTTAATAGTAAACTGTATCCCAGTATGCAACTCTCCTGAATGACATCAACTGATGAATGATTTAAGACCATAATTATGAAATAAACACACAAGGAAAGCCTTCCAGTGTCCTTTGTGGTCTTCTTTATTTTGTGGAAAGTAAAATTAAGAGTGAAAACAGTTATTCCTAATTATAGTCCATTAAAATAGAGTATGTAAATAATCCTTCTATCAAGTCGTTGATGTGGGAGTGTCATTTATCAATCTGTTGATTTCATTGGTTAAGTAATAAACACACTGCTTGGCCTCATAGCTTAGAACATAGGTGGGTGGAATAAACAGAATAGGATGCTGGGCGGAAGAGGAAGTGAGGTCAGACTCTGCTCTGCTCCCGGAGACTCGGAGACTCGACAGCTCTGCCCTCTGGAGCAGAGACACCAGGATGGACGGAGGCTAGACTCTTCCCTGTAAGAGCACCTTGGGGTGCTTACACACATCATTAGAAATGGGCTAGTCCAGGTGCGAGAATTAGCCTGTAAGGGCTAGAGTTCATGGGCCAAGCAGTTCTTTAAATGAATACAGTTTGTGTGTTGTTATTTCGGGCATGAGCTAGCCAAGCGGCCGGGGTGTCGCCGCCGCTTCCTATTTCAACAGATGGCGCCGAGAGCTCTGCTCTGGAGCAGAGACGCCATGCTTGCCATGCTCCACTCTCCTGATAGCTCTGCTCTCTGAGACAAGTCGTCTTAGGTATTAACAGGTGGAATATTAAAGACTGGTTTAGGCTATAGTTCCTATGACTAATCTGCATCCTAAATGCTGCCTACGACTTGCTATCTTAGGTTCTATCACACAGAACTACTTTCTTTCATTTTGGGGTAAGTTTTGTAAGAATAGAAAAGGCTCGTTTGTCTCTCATAAAATTTTAGCAATGGTTTTCAGATATATTTAATGTTCTTTTCCAGGTTTCTGACTGCAGCTTGTGAAGTGCCAAGTCTCTATTCATATTCATCATATCATTTTCATATCTCTAAACATACCAATTCCACATTATTCCTACTATACAAATCATGGCAAACCTAAATAGAAATTGTAGAAGCAACAGACCAGTTTTTCATTAACTAATACATTTATAAAAATTAGAATTTGAATAAAATTTTCCTATACTTCGTACTTTCAGCAGAACATTTATACATTCACTTAGGATACTTCATGTCCACATTTGCTCTTTGAGGAAGTTGAGTAGAGTTTTCCTGCTCTGAGTAAAGTGGTACTTGTGAAAGAATGAGAGTTTGAAAAGAGGGAACAGGGAGACAACTATCAATAGAGTGTTCTACAAGATTTGTGTGTGTGTGTGTGTGTATGTTTGCTAGTGTAACACTTTATATTTGTTCAGCACAGTGTTTTTGTATATATTTATTCATTACTAGCTGAAGAAATTTAAAATAAATTGCTTCAGAGGCTCAAGTTTGTGTCCTTGTCGCCAGAATGGTTCTAAATATTTGAAATGTTTCTTCAGCTTGGGGCTTCCTAGTCTTCTCGCAATCCCATATGCTTTCCTGACTTCGCATGCAACACCCCATCCCCTCTAGGAGTTGAATTGGAAGGAAAATAATGCTGAATATGTTGTTTGTAAAATTAATAGAACTATGGGTTAATAATTCAAATTACTGTCCTCTTAAATGTTAATTCTTCCAACTTATCATTTATAGATTAGAACGATATCACTAGTGGGTCCACATTTTTAAAGAAGAGACCAGAACAATGTAGCACTTGCTTTGCTAAGACTTGCACCCTCCATGAAACAGCTCCACTAGCAACTTAAAACTTGGTTCGATTCCATGTTCCTTTACATGGCTTTGCTAAGCTGTTCACACAAACCACTCATTGCTTTGGGTAGGTTATCAAGGTGTACCCATAACTCTGCTCATTTCACCTACTTAGAAATGTTTATGGGGTTTGAATCTTTCCCATTTAAGGTCAGCATGTAGAATATTTGTGATCTGCATCAAACTTGAAAGGAAGAAACCCTAAGAGAGAATCTTTATTTGCTTTTGGGATTCATCCACCTTTGCCCACTTTCCTCAGGTGTGCAATCTCCCCAAAGTCCCTCAGCAATTAACAGAATTAGAAGTAATATTACAACTCTAGGAACCTTAGGGAGTCTCTTAATAAGATGATTTCTCTACAGCAGCACATCTTAATTTGGTCCTTTAGTTTCTATTTGATGATATATAGTTTGATTATCTATGGAGATACTTTATGAGTTAATGCAGCATGATATTGAATATTTTAGAAAGTTATACCTCCTTGGTGTAAATTCAGCTATCTATTGGCTATTACACAGAAACATTTACTTTTAGAATGGCATTTTCTTTGAAAGTGAAACACTATGGACTGAATTCTTTTGAATTTCTCATCTGATCTAAAAAAAAAAAGGCTAACAAACAACTTTTCAAAACGTAAAAGGGAAAAACTGAGGCTATATATTAAATGTTCTAAGGTCAGAAAAGTGGAGTTATCATGTGTATATAATGTATATTATGTTAAACAAGTTGTTTGCAATATCTGATACTACTTTTATTCATATGTGTCTGTATGTATTGTGTGGCCACTGGATCACAATAATTTAATTATCAACTTTACAAAAGGAAAAAATTATTCCCTCTCTGTAGTTGCCACACGATGTTTGAACATGGTAACTGAGATAAGGGTGCTTAAGAGTCTACCAGTGTGTCAAACACATAGTAGATGTTCAATTATATTATTTCCTCTCCCTAATGTAGGACGTTTAAAATATTCCAATTCTCTTTCACATAAATTTTTGTATATGTGGATGTGTATTTTATTGCACCTAAATATGTACTTATGTGATTTGAGGTTGGGCCATTCTATTTTCCTCTTTATAATACTCCAATAGTAATTAATCCAGAATAGAAATTAAATGAAATAGATTGCTTAATGTTATGCAGGTAAACTTCTGGTCCTTTCTGTAAATTTTTGATTGCATCTTTTTACTGATAATGTGGAAGAAGAAAGATGTCTTTCTGGAGTAGATGAAGAAAATTTCATACAAGAATACCTAGAATGGATCCTGGATGACAGGATCCTCATGAACTCAATTTATTCTTTATTAAGAGGGTTTAAAGGGTTAATTATCATTATCAAATAAACTTTAAAGAAAAACCATAAAATAAAGATATATGCTGGAGAGAGGAAAGTAACAGCTTTATGGGGCCCTTAAAAATATGGCTTTTAGGCCCAACTATTAAAAATTAATGACTACGAAGCTATCACCAAGACCAATTTATAGTCTTCAATATCTGACTGGCTTTATCCCAGTGGGTGAGTTATTTGAAGAGGCTTAAAATAATACCTGTAAGCCTCCTGGGTAGAGGCACATTCATACCTGTCTAATAATAACTAGAAGGCTAGGTCAAAGTTCAACCTGTACAGATGAGCTAGCAATAATAGGCTGAAATCAGTTTAAAATAAACTCAGGATGTTTGCATGGTTTTAATTTAGAATCTGTAAACAAAATACCCTAGGTATTTGAAGTGAAGTAAGTCTGGTAAATGACAAGGGAGAGCAGTGAAAGACAATTGGAGGCAAGTTAAAGTTCAACTCAGAGTCAGGTGTCTTCGCGTCGAGACAAAATAGCAAGAATCTGACTGATTTCAAACAGCTGAACCTTAGAAACTGCTTCAGACTTTTAAGCATGGCCCAGCTGGACGAATTTGCTTGACATAGCTCATTAGCTTATGAACAAGAGGGTTCAAAGGGGATTTTGGCTTTAAAAGTTTTGAGGAAAAAAGTGAAACCATGTTTTAAATACCCAGCCTGGCACTTGCTATATATTTGAATTTCATTGTATGTTAGGAGGTCGCTTCACAGAAGTTTAGACTGGGCACACCCTTATTCCATTCATCATTTCGGAAACCTAAGAGTTGACAAAACTTAGGTTTGCTTCAAATCAAATCCTCATGTTTATGATTTAGGGGGTATTTTGAGTTTCTAGTTCATTTTTAAAATATGTAGCTTAGGTATTCATGAAACAGTACCGAATGTTGTTAAATGAGATGCTAAATTAAATCATTTTAAAATCACATTTTTCTTTCAAATTGCAAAACGTGTAGATATTTGGAGCATGTTTGTATGAAATCACATTTGATAAGGTTTTTGTGAAGAATTTAAACTATTGTCTAGGTTTCATGGCAATGTCTTTACCCCAGGAAAGAGAAGGATTTCTCACTTTAAATGAAAGCGAACCGCCCTCTAGTTTCTATCACTTATCCCCTTCAGAGACAGATCCCAGTTTTGTGATTCTAGTTTGGAAAGAAGGAAAGTGAAAAAACACTGTCATGAGTTAAAGCATGCAGGGCCAAGACTTGTTGAATTAAAGGCAAGCCTGCCTGCTGTGTCTCCAGGGAAAGTATTGTCTGTTTTCTCTCGCATAGATCACAGCACAGAATCTCACTGACTATGATTCATTTGCTTCTCATTCATGAATCAGCTCTGACTAAAGGTTACCTCAGAAGCCAAGCAGGTGTCATCAAATGACACTTTTGTGGTTGACACGTAAGTCTCAGTGACGGTGATGTCATCCAGCTCTGTGCTGAACCGGTCTGACTCCTTGATGACGCTGTAATTTAGAGCCACGCTGTAGCTGGCCGGTTTTTCTGTGGGCTTCTGCTTGCAATTGCAGAGCTTTCTGAAGGCTGCACGGAATTTCTGAGACATGAGGTTGTAAATCACTGGGTTGATGGCACTGTTGAGGTAAATGCAAATTCTGCAAAAGAGCAGGAACCAATTTTCCTGGAAAGGGCTAGAGAGAAATGAGTTGACAACCACAAGAGTCCTGTAGGGCATCCATAAAAGGGCAAACAGAATTACAACCACTGCCAGCATCTTGGTGACCTGTGGAGAAACAGAGAGATGCAGTACAGACACCAACAGAAACAAATCAAGCTGATCCTGCCGCCTTCTTCCCTTCCACAGTTATCTTTTCCAAGATGTAGTCTAAGACTGCCTTTCAGTCATGTTTTTTTCTTTTCTTTCTTTCTTTCTTTCTTTCTTTCTTTCTTTCTTTCTTTCTTTCTTTCTTTCTTTCTTTCTTTCTTTTTTTTGTGAAGTTTAACCCAGAAAGTAGGATTGAGGGAACAGAGAAGAATGTGACCCAGGAGGAAAGAACAAAATAGGAGTTTAGTTGAGATAGCTCTCGCTTGGACAACTGAACTCAAATTCTGTATTCCAGAATTATCTGTCAAAAAGACATTTATTCACCAGCTGCTTGCTACTCTTTGTTGAAGGATGTCTCTAAGCATTAGAAAACCTAAGTATTTCCAGGACTTTCTATCTTAAGAACTCCTAAAGACTTTAAGACAAATTTCTTTGATTGAAAAAAAGTCCCAACCTACTCTGAGTACCTGGAATGTGATGCCCTCAGGAGCGACCCACTTCAACAGTAGGTGGGATTAGTCCAGCTAAGGCTTTCCTTGCTGCTTCCAAATGTGTCTGTGACAAATACTATGAGACATATTTCTAAATCCATCTCCTTAACTGTAGGAAATTATCCTAGACTTCCTCATAGGCCATCTGTAAGATGGGACCAAAGTATCTTCCATCATCAAAGGTGATAACATAATTGTGCTTTAAGATGCAGAAAAATTGCAGGAGCTGTGGCACGTCTCCTCGGTATCAGGTAACACTCAGGCATTGCATATTTCTAATCAGAACCGAAAAGATTATAACCACTTGGAGGGAGTACTGTGTCTGCCAGTTTTCAGACCAGGGAATGGGGGTCCTGCTGGAGTGAGGTGATCAAGGGTCTCTTTTAGCAGATTCTTCTTAACTTGGTGCTCAGTGAAATCTGGCATTGCTCTCATTGGACTTACAGTAAGATCACCTGGCTTTGATTCTACAAGTAGTTTTAAGATCTTAATCAAGTTATTTTTCCATTTGGACGTGTGAAGATCTTCCTGTTATGTTTTCTTCACTTCACAGAGTTATTGAGGGATTAAAATAATTAGTGGGGTGGGACTTAGAAACCCTAAAGCACCATGAAATTCTAACCTCCCATTAAGGGCATTATGGAGAGATCATGGTTTCCCAACAGCATGATGAATGTATGCAATTATTGCAGGGATCATCTTTGCATGCAGATAATAACTAATTGATTTTCTTTAGATGCAATATTTTACACATTTAACAAGCTGTACGTCTCTTGTTGCTTTGAGAGAAACCAACTTCTTTAGTTCACACTTTGTAGATATTCTAGTGAACAATACCAGAAGTATATTCTTGCTCTTTCAATACTGAGGTGAAGGGAGTTGACAAGACAAAAAAAAAAAAAAAAAGCAGGTGGAGTGCTCCCCTTTAGTGATCATGTCCTCCCTGCTGCCTCCTTCCCAAAGCCTAGGCCACTACTAATTTAAGTAGTAATCCTATAGAGTTACCTATTTCAAATATTTTATATGAACGAAACAGTCAATTGCGCACAGGTTGAGATATTCAGTGACCTGTACTGCAGCGTTGTATTGGTTGCTTATTTCTTTTCATTGCTGAATATTATTTCATAGTGCATACATATTACATTAATTTTATTCATACTTTAAATATTTAGTTGCAATCACTGTTACAGCTATGAAACTTTGGAGTTGTATGTGACTGATTTTGGCTCTTTCTCTTACCTTTTACTTCTGTTCCATCTGTAGCAATAAAATGTACTGGTTGGTACTTTTTTATACTGGTATCTTATAAAATAATATGAAATACTCCTTTAACTTTGAAAGATAATTCTCATTATGACCAAAGCAAAAACACTAATTGATCCAGTAATACCACTCTTGGGAATATACCCAAGAGATGCCCTATCATATGACAAAAGCATTTGTTCAACTATGTTCATAGCAGAATTATTTGTAATAGCCAGAACTTAGAAAGAACCTAGATGCCCTTCAATGGAAGAATAGATGAAGAAAGTGTGGAATATATACATATTAGAGTACTACTCAGCAGTAAGACTTGTACTTCTATAGATACTGTTTGTGGACAACCTGGAAGGGTTGGTATTGCTACCACACATCACTGGAAACCTGAAATCTCCATGCTGCCCCCCATGTATTTTGGCCCCAAATTGAAGTCTTCCATTTAGAGTCCTGATTAGGGAACAAACAGTTGCCACAAGGCAGTCAGGAGTCCTTCACACCAATCTGCTTTCCAAGGAAACAAACAAACAAGAAAATTAAAATGCAGAAAATAACCATGAAAAGTAATGGAAACTCACGTTTCTTAGGACACAGTGCAATTAATTGCAAATCATTTATTAGGCTCTGGTTTCGTGGGACCTGGTGACATTTTAATTAATTGTCAGAGATCAACTTATTAGTCTTCCTAGGAAGGCATAGGATGTTTAGTTGGGATTCTTGTACTGATTGAGAAAAATACCTAAACTTTGATTCTGTGATTGATTCAGAGGGGGAAAGGTTCTGTGTGTGGTCTTGGGACTCGCTGCTGTCGGGAGACAAAGAAGACATCACTGCCTTGTGCAGCAATTAATGACTGCAGTAGAAGAAGGAGGGAGGACTGACAGACAGTGTCAAGGTTTTCTAGTTTGTGTCTGCCTTCCAGGAACGTGGGGCAGAGACCATGGCCCACGTTTGAATTTCTATGGTACTCTCTTGTGTTCTGTTATACTCTCCAGTGTGGAGGAGCTTTGCTAAGTCTAAAAAGGTGACGTCCAAACCTATCCTTAAAGAGTTTTTATTGACAGCTCTTTAACTCTTTGTTTAATGAGTGGTTTTCCAGGCATCATAGCAGGAAATCTTAATTTGTGAACAAGTTCTTTACCAATTTTGGATTCCCTATAGTATAAGTCCAGTGCTCTGCTTTCGACTTCTCAAGTAAAATAAATCAAGATGATACTTAGGAAACACATCTTGGGGATAAAAAGTCAGGAGGAGCCCTCAGTACAGAAGCCTAATCCATAACACGTGCTCAGTGAATGGTTGCATTGCTGGGTAAATGTTTATTCTTATCAAATATGTGTGAAATAGAAGTCCTTTAAATTAGCAAAGTGCTGTGGCTCTTGCACTTTTTTATGACTGGGAGACTCACTTTCAGAACACTTCATTCTGAAAGCAATGGTTGGTTAATGAATACAAACCAGTTAGCCTTTAATATTCTAATGCCATCCTTTAAAGGGCAGCAATACATTCTGTGTCTGGACTCTATCCATGTTCTCTTGCTTTCTGCATATTAACAAAAGTGTTCCGAAACTGGATATATTTTGCTCTTAGCTCTCAGCAAAATGATCAATGACCTTTTGCATTTTGTTATATTAATTGAGGCAGTTGAAGGATAAACTGACTAGATAATTAAATAGATCTGAGTGTAGCCAAGCCTCCGTGCTGATTGGGGCCCTGTTTTTTTTTTTTTTTTTTTTTTGCTAGCAGAGTGTTCCGTTTTCTTTTGATGTAAGTCTGGACATTCAGCTTTGAAAACAACAATCGGTGTGAGGCACTGCATACCACGGTGTGAGGTCACCACTGGTGTTTAAAAGTTGAGTGATGAGACTGGAAAGGGTCTTGGGATCAGCTCAAGATCCACGGAAGCACAATAAAAATGAGTAAATACTGAGTAACGATTCACTGTGGAGGGACCATGACTGTCAGACACCGCACTCCACATTGCTATGGGTCTCTTGACAGGAAGCCATGCAGAGATGCAATTCCATGGGCTTCTTGACTACTTTTGCCATCCAGTATTGAATGTTCTATTCAGAATAATTTTTAAATTGTATTTGGTAATTCTTTCTTGAGAGATAGGGCTTAAAAGAAAGGGGCACACTGGTAGACAGTTTTTAAAGATATAGGGCAAACTGGTAGATGGTTTTTAATGGTATAGGGCAAACTGGTAGATGGTTTTTAAAGGTATAGGATTTTGAAAGTGGTGCATACAACAAAAACGTTTTTCCTTTTTTCTATACAGGTGTAGACTGGGTTGAAGTGAATGTTTTCCCCAAAAGACACAAACAAGAAGATGAAACTGAACTTTAAGACTCAGGAGGCCCTCAGGTTTAGTAGGGCCGTACAATCTGCCATCGAAAGATACCAGAGTTGAGGTTACCTGCAAATGTATTTCTTTGCAACACACAGTGTGACTTTTTCTATCTGACAACCACAGTTCCACGGGAAAATATCCAAGTGTCACCCAATGTAAGTGTGCAAGACTTTCTAGGCAAAATGGATAGTGCTTTACACTGACGTATGATATAGAATGAACATGAGGCAAAAACCCATCAAGAGGGCACGGGGATGGGACTTTGAGCTGTGTGAAACTGAGGACCAAAGATAACTTATGTTGACAGTTCTTAGCACACAAGAAAGTTGAGTGCCTGTTATGGAGGGAATGTGCAGTAACATCTAATCATGTTTTCATATAACATGGCAACACAGGATGGATGCTGAGAATGTCCTACTCTAGTAACAGGAATTAGCATCCTAAAGGGAAGAAAATAAGACATCTGACAGAATCTGTGTTGTTCCATGGCACGTGTGTGTGTATTCTCTTCACATCAGCCCTGCCTCACCTGCATTGTGGAGGGTAAAGTTGACAGCAGAAAATTAATGTTAGTGTACAAGGCTACCTGAGAAGATATGCACATTTGAGAGCATAGTCTTTTTATCGTTATTAAGTACCTTAAATTTTGAGAGAAAATATTTTTTTCTCATGTTTTCAAAACAGCAAACAAAGCAAAAGTTTGGGCTTAAAGTTGGAATTGATGGAGGCTGTTTGTAAGAAGGAAGCCAGCATGAAATGAATTATTTCTAAATTGAGCCAAATGCCTGAAGTAAATAGCAAGACGATTTCTTTTCTCGCTGTGACATTAAACCCTGTTGGGACATGTTTTTTATTTC